CTCATCCCTTTTCTGAGAATTTGTAGGAAAGGCTTTGAATTTTACAGTGTTGTGCCTTGTCGTAGTTTTGTTTTTATCTACTGTGCCAGATACATGGTGGACCCTTGCAAACTGAAAACATGTTAAGTTCTGCTAAATTGTCTAAATTGTCTTTCTTTCTTTTGTTTTCTTTTCTTTTTTGTAGAGATAGAGTCTCACTTTATTGCCCTCAGTAGAGTGCCGTGGCGTCACACAACTCACAGCAACCTCCAACTCCTGGGCCTAGGTGACCCTCTTGCCTCAGCCTCCCCAATAGCTGGGACTACAGGCGCCCACCACAACACCCGGCTATTTTTTTGTTGCAGTTTGGCCAGGGCTGGGTTTGAACCCACTACCCTCGGTATATGGGGCTGGTGCTGCAGACGCCACCCCTAAATTGTCTTTCTTTAAAAAACTCAAAACTCTTATTTTCGCTACTTATTTTTAAATAGGTATTCTATTCACTTGGCTCAAAAATCACAACCATATACAGCTGATCCTTGAACACAGGGGTTGGGGAACTGACCCTCTGCACCATTGAAAATGTGCATATAACTTGACTCTCCAAAAAACATAACTGCAAAGAGCCTACTGTTGACCAGAGCCTTAATAACCTAAACAGTTTATTAACATGTAAGTTATATGTATTATATTCTGTGTACGTACAATTAAGTAAGCTAGAGAAAAGCAAATGTTATTAAGAAAATCATAAGGAAGAGAAAATATATTAAACAGATCATCATAAAGGTCTTGATGTTGAATAAGCTGAGGAGAAGGAGGAAGAGAAGGGGTTGGTCTTCCAGTCTTTGGGGTGGGAGAGGTGGAGGAGAATCTGTGAATAAGTGGACCCTAGAAGTTCAGACCTATGTTGTTCAAGGGTCAACTATATATGTAAAAAATTCAGTGAAATGGAGTGGTGCCTGTGGCCAAAGGAGTAGGGCACCGGCCCCATATGCTGGAGGTGATGGGTTCAAACCCAGCCCCGGTCAAAAACTGCCCCCCCCCAAAAATTCAGTGGAATGTTTCCACTTCCCTCACAAATAACTATCTTATCAGAGTTTATATAAATACAAGCAACTATGGGTATGTGGTCTTATTTTTTTCCTTGTCCTATATGAGGTGGCATCATACACACCTTTTCCATCTTGCTTTTTCTCACTTATCTTTATAAAAAGATATTTTTTGTAACTGCTTAGAGTGCTTAGGACATTTTATAACTTTTCCTTTTCCATTCTCTTCTCTCTACTAGAACTATTTTCTGACCATAAACTCCTTGGACTGATCCTTGAATTTTCTTATCTTCCCTCTC